CCAGGCTGAAATTTGCGAGTCGATAGGATCTAACACTGCCTCTGTTGCCCCTTTAAATCCAGATGTTCGGAAGTCCGAAGCATGCATATACTTGGACTGCGACAGTGGAGACAAAGAGGAAATCGTAGACAGTTCGCGACGGTCTCCCAGTGCCACAGTGCCGTCGACGCTTGTCTCAGAAATGTCCCCGGTCAGTGGCACCAAAAAAGGTGACAATGAGCCACGCTCTGAGATTTCTCTTCTTGATTCCGATCGCGAGAATGAGACGGAGAGGCAGGAAGCAAAACCACCGTCACCGCCAGTTAGTTTGCCTTTGCATGCTGCCGCCGTCGACCCTAACGGAGCTACTGTTTCCCCCACCATACCGCGAGGAACCGAGGTGATCAATATTGATGGTGACGGCGAGGAAGAGGAGGGTGACGATGAACCGCAAGTGGTACACTGTACTCTACCGCCGAAGGGGACAGCTCCTTCTAACTATGGCGAGCACCGACCTTGCCAGTCCAGTGACTTCCACCCTCACCGCTCAACTTCCAACCTTCACCCGTCGGCCTTCTCACTTGGCAACCTGCAGCTAGTAACACAGATCTCAGAGCAGCGTGTCACCAGCGTGTCAACTAACGTCTTTGGTTGTCCCGTGACTTCTGCACGTATTGTTCAGCAAGGAGAGGACTTTGTGTTCCCACATCCGGTGCATGACTCCTTTTACCCCCGCCCCCACTCCACCCCCACCCCTAATGATGCCCCGCGGGTTTTCGCGTTTCTCTAGTCATGCTTGGCACCCCTCGCCCTACCAGCGCTTCTTTCAAAGCAATTTCTGAACCTGGACTCGTGACCTCGCTCTGTTGTTGGTTGTATAGTCGATCGCCACCCCGGAATGTACCATTGTGGCGTCGATATCACTCTCTCTCTCTCTCTGTCTCCTGGTCTTTTATTTATGTCACTACTTTTTGTTGGAACAGGGAGCGATTACGTTTTCTTTGTCTTAGACCCATTATCGACGTGTCTGTTACTTCTAAGTTTGCTCGAAGCCGGATGCGCGAATGTTTGTGCGAGCCTCTCTCTGCGTCAGGGTATTTGTACCCTCTTTCCGCCGCCATCTGGCCTCGACTTCTGTCCTATGAGCTAGTAGAGGAACTTTAATTCCGTACCAAAAGCTTTCCTGGCGGTGATGTCGCTTTTTTGTATCTTTCCTGGTCAGCTGCCTTGAAATTCCCAATAGTGTAGAGCAGACTTCCCTGGGACCCTTAGCGGCGTCGAGATCGTTAGTCACCTGAATTCCCAAATCACATCGTCGAAGTGTTGAGGTCGGATATGCTCAGTGTCACAGATGCACGACGTCCACCAGCCTTACCTGATTATTCGCTGCTTTGCGACCGTGCTAGGCTTCGGGGTCTGAATTCCCAGGCTAGCACTTCGCCTTATAAATACAACTCGTTTAAAGCTGCTCATGCGTGACTTGATTTATTTGCTACTGAAACTACGCCAGTTATAACTTTACTGCGACAATTAGTACGTTTTGATGGATGCCGGTGGATGCGCTTGAGCTGCCGCTGGGCATATAGTTCTTGTCCATGGCTGCGTAGTGACTTGTGTCATCCTTCCCTTTCTGACCCACTTTTGTTGCTGGTTAAAATCCTGGTCAAATGTTTGTCGTGGACCAGGGGATGTAGTGGCACGCCTAGGTGCGAGTCCGGCCGAGCCGGCCACCTGTGCCCTCTGCCGCCTTCGCTCTTGACTATGTTTGGACACTGATCTTATGCGGGGTAGGAGGAAGTGGGAGTGCGGTGGATGCTGTGCAAGTCTACTACCTCTATAAATTAATTCACACACAGGTCACCGTGCCTGTGGAGCACACGGTAGACATCATTGGCGTCGATGGCGGAACAGTCACTACGTTTCGATAGCAGTTTTGCATATTCGTTCTACGCCTATTTTATCTGCTCCCATCATTAAGAAATTTTGAATTCAAGTCTGTAATTGCAGGCTTCCTCCTAATGCTTGAATCGTGAAGTTCACTTTTGGCTGGCCATGCACGTGTTAAGCACCCTTTGTTGAAAAAAGGAGTCTTGAACCCTGGGACTTGAGTGGCAGAGGTAGACAGACCCAGCTTATTGCAACGGACATGGACATTAGATTGCTTTTTCATATTTCCTCTGACGACGAAAGGTCTTTATCACTTGGCACGATGCCTATCTTCTTTGGTGAGTTGATAGCATTCAGATATTTACCTTCTGTAATTGGCTATACTAAGGCCACAAAGGTCGCAGGGGATATTTGAGAACTTGTTGATTGTAATAGAGCGTTTGATTCCTCTTGTTGGTCATTGCTGCCCTGGGGTTTTGACTGCGTCGCTGTTACAGTTAGTATTTTTGGCCCTTTGTTTAAGTCTTGATCGGCAAGTATTCAGATGTTCAACCACGGGCACTCATTTTCTCGCCGGGCGTTAAGCTTTGTCGAACATTGGTTTAACTTTCGAGTAACTGATGGCCTTCGAATCTAGTTCTCATATGCGATCATTTACTTAACTAGGAAAGTTGTGTCCATTCGAAAGACGACAGTTCGACCGCATTTACCGACGATTTCCACCGTGTGCCCCACAGCATGGCGGATGCAGGAACGACTTGCCCATGGATTAGTTTATACTGGTAGCAGACTTGCGCAACACCAACCGCACCATCTTGCCTGCTCCCGCTGTCAAGAAAAAGCTAAGAAGACCGGTTGCGGGATCGCTCGTGTTGGCTGACTAAATCGAACAGTCCGTCTGCGCGTGCCGCACGCGACCTCTCCCCCGAACAATGCGTCGTGTTTTTACTCAAAGAGGCACTTGGCTTGGATCTTATGGACTTGCAAGCCCATTAACGCATGTCAAGGAAGCGCTTTCGAGCCTGACTCACAGTTCACCAGTCGAACACTCCACAGAAACACAGGACCGACTGAGAGGTCCGAGTTGTACCCTCAGTTGGCAACCTCCAAAGTTACGACGGTTAGCGCGTCCTGATATTTGCAAACGCGTCACATTTATTGTAGCGTGAAATGCGGATGGAGTCCTCAGAGTCGGTCTCACCCCCCTCCCCTGCACCAGTCAGTAGTCCGAACCGCTCAACCAACTGATGCTAGATTCAAGCGCAGTGGTTAACAGAGTCCGTCCACGCATGCTACACATGCCCTGGCTCTCGATACAGGCTAGGTCTTCACAAAGGAAGTCGGCAGCTCAGATCTCACATGTGTTGGGATATCATAAAGGCCACTTAGGGAAGGAGCCGTAGGACACAATTCTGACTTATGTAGGGATACCTGTTCCGTGCCTGTGGTGGATGATGCCGGACAGGTCTCGTGTATGTTGTATGGGTCGGTGGGGAGATGTGCGATGATATTTGGTCTGTGGTGATTTACCGAAGATTTGAATCGAGGCGCATATGGTCAAATAGGCACGTGGAATGATTGAATGTCCGCGGACAGTTGAGGCGAGTGCGACGGGCGTGTCGATGCTCCTGGCACCGGTTGGCCAGTCTGTGCGATAGATCCGTAAATGACCCGCCGGGCCGATGAATGATGTGCATGTACGGTGACACATGAATGGCAGTAGCTAAATACTCTGAGAGCACAGCCCGAATAACTCGTGTAATAAGCCAAACTGTCCTTCTCCATTCCCATTTTAGGTGTAGCGCATTTGCGATGTATACGCACACCAACAAATACAGAGTGCGGTCTGCCGGTAAATGAGGTATTGGCAGTTCGACCGTCGTTGCCGACGATGTCCACCGTGTGCTCCACAGCGAGGTGAAAGTAGGCACGGTGACTTGTGGGTGAATTAGTTTATATTGGTAGCAGACTTGCACAGCGTCTGCCGCACTCCCTTCTCTCTTGCCTTAGCTCGGTGTCAAGACATAGTCGATTAAGGTACTACAGAAGGCAATACAAAGTTCTGTTCTCTCACTTGATGTGAGGTGGGAACATGCCAGACCTAAATCTGATCTTTCAAATGGCTGGTAGTGACCGTGGCTAGCCGCCTGACGAACAGCAGGGGGTAAATAATGACTTCAGTGCGTTTAGCGTGTGGGTGCACTACCCTGCACTTGAGCTACAACCTCACAGTGTGGAGATCCTCAACCTCCACACCCTGAAAACCCTACGGACAAAGGGATCAGTCAGGACATATTAGCGCCATTTTTGACTTATTTCCGTCAACGATTGGTGAGGCCTCTGTAGCTAGGGTGGGTGGCTTACTTCAGTGATTAACTGACCTGAGTTCAAAACCTGGACGCGTATCCTATGCAATGCCAACACTTAGCTAGGGCAGATATGGCAGAAATGAACGTTTCAGTCACTTTGCATTTGTTGCTGACGCTCCTCTATTGTTTATTATTAGTCATGAAGCAACCATCTGTGTGACTGGTAGGCATTCAGCTCTAGGCAAGACGAAAGAATTCTCCATCTAGTAATTTGTCGCTACTACTGCTTATGAGACTGTTCCGTTGTCGTTGACGCGCGCCATCATTGTGTCGTGCAGATGACTCGTCGTTTGTGTGAATCAAACTGGCATCCGCATTTCAGAATGACTCTCCAGGGTCACAAGAAACAGTTCGACCATCAGAGGCGACGACTTCTACTGTGTGTCGCACGAAGTGGAGTTAAGCGCAGTGAACTGGACCCTGATTTTTTTTATAGAGATAGAGCACTTGCACAACATCTGCCGGAATCTCCTAACTCACGTGTGGAAATTTTATCGTACGGTGATTGTGGTATAACTTTCTAGAAATCGCCTGGACACCTTGCACCCACCCACTCATACATACCTTTCGGGAAAGTGAGGGTCTTCGAATCTAATCCTCACACGCAGTCGCTTGCCTACATAGGAAAGTTGTGTCCATTGTGCTGGAGGAAAGGCTACGAGTAAAATCCTCTCACAATCTCCAGGAAAATAAGCCATCAACCCTGTTCTAGATTTCCGACCGCAAATGCCTTACACCGAAAGATTTGTAACGAGCGTCTGTGAGAGACTTTGCACAACAGTTGGCAACGGCCAGGTCGTCTTTCACCAACCAAATGACCTGATTTCTGTTGGTGGAGGGACATGTTGCCGACGCAAGAACGCCTGGGGCGAAAGCCATCTTGTACATCTGCAGTACACTTCTCTCTTCGGGCAACGTCAGCACCTGCTTCCCTATCGACTGCTCTGTAACATTGCTAGGAATCTATCGGGCTGGCGCGACATGGACTCTTCATCTCGAGTTAAGGTTCACGCTATCGTTAAACTACCTCATCCCTGAGACTACAGCAATTCCCCGAAATTAGCGGGTGTTAAGTTCTTAAGCCCCCTGCCAATTTTGGATGGTTAACTAACAAGGACCTATAAGTGCCTATGTTCACATGCTAAACGATATATATGCCCTTAAACCACTTCAAGTTAATTTAGAAATTGATGTTATGGTTTGCATTGCCATTTAAGACTGCAAAGTCAAAAGTAAACATTTACAGTACTGTATTATAAAGTTCATACAGTATGATACCGCACATGTGCATACGTCTACTATCCGCCATTCTAGGCCTACTCGCGCATTCTCTGATACGTTGAACTCTCGTGCGCGCCTTTCCTATGAGACAATCAACGCTACGCGAATTTTAAGTGTGAAGGGTCCAAGGAGAAATACGCGAATTCGTGAAGCCGCAGACTCATAAAACGCGACTTTTTAGGATTTGACCGTGTTGCTCTCCTAAGTAAACTCTAGTAAATCTGACCCGATTGAATCTATCACGGTGTGCTAA